TGCGGATTCGAACCCGCGACCCTCAGATTGTGAGTCGAGCGCCTTATCCACCTGGCCATGCCGGGCACAGTATCGTATGGCATGGTATAGTGTAGTATTGTATAGTACAGTATAATACTCTATTCACTAACTATAATTTGGTATATAAAATTACATGCAAGAATCGCCTGTAATATCATTTCCTGCTAGCAGCAATAATTCACTCTTATGTAAATATGTTATAGGTTAATTTTAAGATCGAGTGTGGCCTAATGGTAAGTATGCCGGGCTGTGGATCTAAGTTTCTGTATTTGCATCCCGTTCTCGACAAATACAATGAACTAACTAACTGGACCTGTTGGTGCATTCTGAAAGTAATGGTGAAATCTTACTATTCAATTTGATAAGGGTAGCCTAAAAGTTGGCGGTGGGTGCTGTTGAGTAGCCGCTTTACTTCTAGTGTAACCCTTCAAAATATTTAGTCCTCCTGTAGCGAAATCCAACAAACAAAGAAGGGTAATTTAAACTTAAAACTATCAAGAAACTCGAAACTAGATATAATCATTATTATTTTAAAAGAAAAACAACTCAAATTGTTTAAAGGCTTACAGTTTTGAGAACAACAGAATGTCTGAAATAGAACAAATGTCTTACAATTTTAAAAAGTTTTCTGTGATAATTTTTGGTTTTGTATATTGTATATGGACACTGATCATTAACCCTGGTGGGGATTTTTTTACTTAGAGATCGTGTTGTAATATATGTGATATAATTTCCTGCTTCAGTTGATTGTTCACAATGTGTTGTATTCGTATATTCTTGAGTCTTTCGAAGAACCACCATTATTATCTGTTGCACGGATATTTAATTTCGCCTGCGTCTATAATATAATTTTGTTGAAAAATAAAAATGGAATAAAAGTTATTTGATAAGAAAAATAAAAAAAAAATTCGGCGTGTTTACAAAGACTCTAGCTTTCCAGATATTATTATCTCCCACAATGCACCAGGATATAGCCAGCAGTTATGAGGTTGATCGTGACATTACACACCTCTTATTCAACAACCCTAATTTTTTTCAATTATTTTTATTATCACGACAGTCTGAAGTGTAAGGAAATATGAGACTGGAAGTTGTCTTGCAGCTTCCTTTTCTTCCCCTCCTTCCATTCCCAACTTACCCTCATTCCAATAGTGCTACTGGATTTAAGTAGGTACGTGGTTATGACACAAGGATTATGAAGACAGTGCCTTTGAGACTATACTGGTGTATTGGATTGTTGGTTATTTATATAACCTATGTCCTGCTGTAGACGCGGTGACAGCAACAAGTAAGCCGTTGTAGGAATTATCTAAGATTTATTCAAGCAAATATTAAACTTACCTATTTTAACAAATACTCCATCCCGTTCTAAAATATTAGGGTTAATCTTTTAATTTGCTGTCTTTTAACATTTACATATAGAATTGAACATTCTTTAGTTTACTTTAGAACGTGAAAATACGTTATGCATTACTGCATGACAACATTTTTTGGTAAGAGTTCCATATGGCACCCCCACTCAATTTAAAAAAAATTCATCAAAGTAATATTTATGTAATAATAAATGATATTAATAGTATGATCTGATAATTTGAATACATTATTATACCACTTACTTCATTAATTAGATGTACAATCTTCTTGGGGATAAATTTTACAAATGTCTTGTATAAAGGCATCAAAAAGGCTCTATAATTTTTGGGTGGGGGTGCCATATGGAACTCTTTTCCACATTTGTAACTATATTAACGTCCTTGAACTTCAAAGTTGAAGGTTAAAGTAAATGTTAATATTGATAAAAGTTAAACAATTCCGAATATCTTTGAATGTGACATCGCTTCAAAAAATATTTATTTTATACAGCACAGAACATTTTTTAGAAACTTTTAATGGTGCCACTGTCGGGATCCACTATAATAAAGCCTTTTCAGTTATTTGATAGTATAGATGGTTTGTAGCAAATGTAAGAAATTATTTTACAGTTTCTAACTTCAAGTCAAGGAGCCTACAGTATTTTATGCCATGTTCCAGAAATGAAACTAAAGAAAAAAAAATCGAATGAAAACGTCTATACTAAAATACATAAAGAAATTTGGTCACAAAAATGTAGTTTTACACGCTAATTCTAAACGTCTGGTTTGCGTAAGCTGTGAATTTACGTCACAGAAACATTACCACGAATTAACGTCTAGCTCTTGGATGTCTGCATAATTTCAAATCGTAAAGTGGACTTAAAAACTACCCGGATGTAACGTTTCTCAAACTGTGGGTCGTAACCCTAAGGGGTTCGCGAAGAAGTAAGATAAGCAAAAACCCAGCTAAATCCCCCTTGGTAGTCACTAATATATTTTTTCAGTAGTTCAGCAAGTAGTGTTATATGAGCTAGGGTGACAGTCGCGATTACGAAGAATTGTGTGTTATAACGAATTAAACACCAGTGTTTAGAATATCGGCCTCAAATACATCTGATGTCTTTAAGAAAATTAGTTTCAGCGATAGTGACGTATTATTTGGAATTTCGAAAATCTATAAAAATTCTCAGTTTTTGTACGTTAAGATAATATTGATAATAATGTAGTGTAGGAGGTTATTTTCGCCCGAATCACTTTTTC